TATGTGTTAACTTATTTTTACACCGAAACTCGTGCATGGAAAGGGCTTGTAATGTTTTCAGTAATTTTTTGCAAACAATACATTCAAACAAATTATCTTCTTTTTCCTTCGGCACTACATTTACCAACTCACCACGATGACAAATCTTTTTGGTTAAACCAAAGTTAAACAAATTTGTCTGCTTTCTCTTACTCATGATCTTAACAACGTTGTCAACAACATACGCAACAACAACACTAGCGTGTTTACTTTCTTTAAAAATCGTTTATCTTAAAGAAGTCATTACATTGCAGAGAAAAAAATTGCAATTTATGAGTTGGTTATGTTAACATTTGTTCACAACTGAAGTTGCTTAATATTTTTTCACATCGAGTTCAGTTGCTTATAAACGAGTTGCTTATACAAAAAAAAAAATCGTGTATTGCAATTTCTCTATATAACCAAGTTTGCAAAGATTCAGAATCAAGTGAGGTTAGTGAGAATTTGCGAAAACCTGAACTTACATTGTTTGTAAAAGTTTGTTATTTTTTTATGCATCTTAGCATAAAAAAATAACAAACTTTTACTTTTTTTCTGAAAAACATAAAATGAGAAAGAAATCTTAAAAGACCTGTGAAATCTTAAATTATCAAAACAAATGAAAAAAATAGTTTACTGAACGTAAAAGGCTATTTTCATAGTCACAACTTTTTAAAACATTAATGGTTTATAAACTACTTAAACTTTAAAAATTTATGATAAAGTTTATTTATTAAGGTAGAAAAAATTTAATAATAAAGGTCATTGTATAATATGTTATAGAATAATAAAATCCAGAGTTTTGATCGGTTACATATTTGTATTCATAGTTTGTAATATTGTTAGACAGTATTTATATTTAACTTTTATTATTTATATTATATTTGAATAAAAATTTCTAAAATCTCTACCAATTCTGGTTTTTCTAAGAGGCCAAAAAAATATAATAATAAAGGAGATTTAACAACTAATTATAGGGAGTACTACTACATCAACTAAGAGTTTGGTTAGGGCGAATATTGTCTTTTTTTTTGTTGAAAAAAATCAAAAGGATAAAAAATCAGTAGTGAAAGTTAGGATAATAAGTTAATAATAAAATTATATATATATGTATATATATATATATATATATATATATATATATATATATATATATATATATATATATATATATATATATATATATATATATAATCTTTTTTTATATACAACCCACTAAAAAGAAAAAAAAAACATCTAAAAACATTAGCTGACAATATAAAAGCAATCTATTTCAAACACTATCTTTTATACTTTTGCTTTTACTAGAATGTTTAATAGTTTATTGAGTTTTCTTTAGTTTTCTAAAACAATGCAACTCAAGTAAATGTTATGATGAAATATTATGAAATATTAATTGAATTGATTACCTGAAGTGTTTTCTTGAGATTTTTCAGGCATGCATGAAAACTGAGGTGCTCAAAAAAATACGATTAAATGAAATTCTTATTTCTTGCTCATTTAATTTTGTGAGACTGTATGACTTTTATAAGTTTTTAAAAAGAAATTAAAATAATGTTTAATTTGTTAAATTAAATTTAATTTGTTAAAATAAATTCTTAAAAAAAGAATTTCATTTAACAAACTAAATTATTTTTTTTAAGAATTTCGAGTTATTTGACTTTCTATATAATGCTAGAAACAAAAGGCAGGAAAAAAAATAGATACCTCATGAAAAAGAAGCGCTGGTGATTTCAAATGTTGCAGACTTCTTCAGTTGTTGAGCAATACACAACACACATACAAAACAAAACAAAAACTGCAAAAAACTTTATATATTTAACACTTTTATAAAATAGACACCTATATAGCAGTCACAGAAGAATTCACAACATTCAACTAGACCATACAAGACCACATACATTGAGGATTGAGCTCTCTCACAGAAGATTATGATCCTTATAGCTAAACATTTCATGATTTAAACAAATAAAATACAGTTTTTGTATGAATAAAATATAATAATAAAAGAAAAATGCAAATTATAAACAACAATATTTTAACATACGCTTTTTAGATGGAGGATATGCTACAATACCTTGTGTTTCTAAAGGTGAGTTTCCACTCATCCGTTTTTCTACGGGAAAAGGTAAAAGGGAACGAAAAAATAATCACGTGAGCATGCGCAGTTTTCTTTCGGACAAATAAAAACTCTTATTACGCATGCTCACGTAATTATTTTTTTCTTTCCTATCCCGTTCCCGTTGAAAAACGAATGAGTGGAAACTCGCCTTAAGTATAAAAAATCTAAATTGCAAATAAAAAATAATTATTATAAAAAACATTACTGTATGTTTAGCGGAAACAATATATATCTCAAACACAATCTTTTTTATTTTTGTTTTTACTATAATACTTTTTTATTATCTGAATTTTGATCAAACAATGCATTTCAAGAAAATTCTTCAATGAAATTTTAGGATAAACTAATTGCATTGATTATCTGAAGTGTTTTCTTGAAGAGATTTTTTAGACATGCATGGAAACTAAGGCACTAAACAAAAAAAAAGGAATTAAATGACATTGCTAATTCTTGCTCACTTAACTTTGCAAGACTGAAGACTTTAAAAAGTTTTTTTTTCCCTAGTTACAATAATTGTTTAAGAATCGCAAGTTACTTGACTTTCTATATAATGCTAGAAACTTAAGAAAGGATAAAATACCTCTAGAGAATAAAGCCCTGGTGTTTTTAAATGTCGCAGACCTTTTCAATTGTTGAGTAAAACACAACGCACCTGTAAAACAATTCTTTTTGAAAACCTGAACAACATAGACACAAATAATAACTATCATAATAAAAATAATAAAGTTCAACACCTGAACAAAATAGACACAAATAATATTTGTGTCTATTTTGTGCTATATTATATAGCAGACCCAGAAGGATTTACAATATTTAACTAGACCATACAAGACCACAGGATTGAGCTCTCTCACAGAAGATTATGCATGCTTATAGCTAAATATTCCATGATTTAAACAAACCAAATACAGTTTTTGTATTGATTACATACAATAATAAAAGGAAAATGCATATCATAGAAGACAATATTTTAACATATGTTTTTTAGATGTAGAAGATGCTGCAATACCAGCATTACTAAATATATACCTAAGTAATAGAACAAAGTATTTTATTTAAATATGAAAGAGTTTAACCATTAGTTTCAACCGTATGCCCTTCCTAAATTTGTAATGATTTTCTTTTTAGTATAAATATTTTCCCTAATTTTTATTTTTACTTTTACTATTTTTACTGCGTGTCTATTATCTAACTTCCGTTTGGAAAACGATTGGGAAAAAGGTTTTTTAATATTGTGAAGAAATAGATTTAAAATATTCACTAGACATAAATAAATTTAATAAAAATATTTGTTTATCTTAATTAATTTTAAATAAGATAAATATTTATTTTCATAAATAGTAACAGTCTCTTACCAACTTTGTCCGTCCCTGTTTTCTTAATTGCCGCTATCTGATTATTATTTAATATAAGAGTAAAAAAATATATAAAATAATTATAAAATAGATATAAATAAAAACAATCTTACTAATGTTTACAGACTTTCTTATTTGTGTGTCATTATAATTCTACTAAAAAACTGATCTTTTTCTACCGCATTTTCATCAGAATCTAAGCTTGTTGCATATGTTGTGTATGCCCAACTTTCTTAAGTATCTAAACTACCTAAAAATAATTTTATAAAAACTGAATTGAATATTTGAATATGCAGCAAAGCCTTTATGGATTTTATATAATATTAGCTGGAGCAACATAAAATTTGTGACACAATTCTTATAGAAAATCTATGAAAAATCTATCACTTCACTATAGGAAACATAAAATTTTAGATAATACTGACAATAAATACTGGTACCACAAAAGCCAGCTGGATACACAAGGAAAATAGAGCTATTTGCAAGAAGAATGTAATAAAACAAAATTATAAATAAATTTATTTATTTGAAAAAGCATATTACAAATATACATAAATTTATAAGATTTAGACGAGATGAATAAGAAGAAATATTACATAGCCACTCTTATACGGTAAACAAACACATTTTCGTAGTTCGTTTTTGTAAAGTGTATTTTGTAAAATCTTAATTTTTTTCTAGGAAGTAAATTCCTAACAATTTAGAGTTAATTAGATTAATATACAACGACTTCAAACAGCTCTTTGCGTAAACATCACATTCGTAAGTGATATTCTTATTTACAAATCTAACAAAAACAAGATTTCCATCTTCATTAAAAAAGCAATTATCTCGGCTACTTAAAGCAAATTTTTCTGTACTGGATATGAAATTGCCATCATAATTATTTTCTTTAATGATGACTTACTTTACTATTTGTGCAGTTGGGTTGTTGAAATTCCTTACAACTTTTTTTAGCTTGTGCAAATAATTTTCAAACGAAAAGCAAGATATTTGGTTTAATGAGCAATCAAAATTTTCTATGTCATTATATGTATCCAATAAACTATAAATGCTATATGCAGTATATGTTTTACCAAAAAATTCTTTATAATTGTTCAAAAAATATTTAGGCAATTCATTACAGTACGGTAGAAAGCTTTTACGAAAGTTACTATGTGGATGCACCAGAATAAATACTGAAGTTGACAGGGAAAAAAAGTGTTCATAGACAGGTTCAGAAACAATTCCTTTCAAAGAAACTGGACCAGTGTATAGGAGAAACTGTCTGAATTTAGTTGCTTTCCACCTATCAACTTCAAGTATTGATAGTGGCCTTCTAGCAAAATCACTAGGAATGTAATTTCTAAATTCAATTAATTTCTCGGATATCTGCAATATATGTGCTTGTGACTGCCTAGCCATAGGATCTTTTCGGAAATAATTTAGGATTCTTTTAACAACCCCAAGTCATATCAAATGCATATAGTCAAGGCAGAATCCCAAAACACATTTAATTCCAGCAGCTATGAGAGGAGACTTATATTTCTGATGTTGCTTATCTGACTAAAATCTTCATCTGTTTGCTTGAGAAATTTTTGCTCTATATTAAATACTACCCTTCCTTCACAGGAACCTTTAATAATGCACTTTTCACAGGAATAGTATCCAGTATGCCCAACAGTCCCTTTTAAAAATGATCTTGTTGGGGCATCACAGAGAAAAGCTCTAACTTTAACAGTGTGTACAACTGATTTTATTGTCATACTAGATAATTTTAAACAACACAATTCTTTTAAAAAATCATCTAAAAACACATTCAAACTTGATGGTTTTTGTTCCCATGTGTATATTGCCACAATAAAAATTTTTCTCCGACTTACTTTACAAAGAATCGGCCACATTTAAGTAAGGGATGATTTAAATAAAGGTAATCCATCAATACTAAAACTAAGTGACATTTCACATTCCGAACCTGTAAAATTGTTTTTGATACCGGATTCTAATCCAAAATAGTAATATGCAGCACCACATTTTTGAACACACTGAACTTCTTGCGGTACTTTTGAAAGAGTTCTTGCATTTTTGGGCAGGGTGTTACCATGTCTTTGAAGTATATCGAGTAAACCATTTAAAGTTGCTTGAGAACAATTAAACTTTAGATACCAGGATGCAAGGTCTGCTGAGAGGTTTACTTTACTGGTAGATGGGTTAAAAGAACTACTGTTACTGGAACTGCCGGACCAATATTCAGGTAAATGACTAAAACTCTGACTGCTAGTATGAAAATAATCTTCTTCTTCTTGAGTTTGTGCATAGTTGACATAAAAACGCACACCCACACTTTCCTCTCAAGCTTCTTGTAAAACTGATTTATTTAATTTTCTCCAATTCTTTACATAATCTTTTCTTGATGCAGACTTACTCTTAACAATTATTTTGAACGAATTAAAACAAATTATTATTCTAACGTCTTTAACAAATAATAGCTTTAACGTATTAAAACATTATTTAAAAACTAAAAATACGCGAAAAGAAGCTGGTAACTATATAGGTAAAGACGTTCTAAAGGCGTCTGTTTAACACGTCTTAAGCACGTCTTATATTGGTTGAAGACGTCTAGACGAGTTAAAGATAAGTTAAAGACGTCTTATGTTGGGTGGGGTTGTTCTTTGCATTTAAACAATCAAAAAGCATATCCACCATTAACCAAATTTCTCTATACTTCTCATAATAGTTAAATAAGATGATTCTGGTGGCATAATAAATAGGATCCAGCAGTTTCTGGTAAAAAAAAAAAAATAATAATGTTCATTTTGTCTTCTTAAAGCTGAACAACCAGATATTGCTCAAGTTTCACTAAACATTTCAAGAAAAAGCAATTTGAACAAAATCACCAAACAAATTAGTAAAATAGCAGGCAAATGCTAACATTAACAATCTTTCTGTACAGGTTTGGAAGTCCGGAAACGAGAAAAACAGTTTGACAGAGTTGAAACAATGCAACTTTGTTCGCTTCCATACTACATCTTTCTTATAACTATAGAATAATGCTCTACTAGCAAAGTTAGTGGATGGGAATAAAAAAAATGATGTTTCAATTTTCAAACGAGCTCTGTATGGTTGAAACAAAAATTACACTTTACCTTAAGTTAATTAAAGAAAGGGCTAGATACTGAGTAACTTGCTTTGAAGGGCTAATTTAATTGTTATTATTGATAAATCTATTTTTAAATTTTAAAGTAACCTTCTTGGTTTTAGTTATAGCTTTACTTCCTTGTAACAATTGTAGTTTTACTTTCTTGTAGCAAAATCATGGCAACTTTTGCAAAATCCAAATCGCATAATTTAATATTTTTATAATCCTATATAAAGGAAATTGTTTACTATCAAATAATTGTAGTAGCTCTCGGTCTTTTTTCCACTGTCTCAGTTGAACCTCACGGTCTTTCTCCCACTGTCTCAATTGAGCATATTCGGACAACTGAATGGCAAAACCTGAGAAGATCACCAATATATAAGTTTAAAAAACTCAACAAGTTTGTGCTGTAGGTGGTCAACTATCCGATTATAAATACACTGTGATGAAGATAATTGGAAAAGAATCACCAGATATTCTCCCAGTTAATGTTGATGACATGAGAGATGAAAAGAAAGTATTGAAAAAAAAAATTGCTGGCGATGCCGTTCTAAATGAAAACATTTCTCTAAATAATTTTGTAGACATCCCAGACGGAGGTAGTTTTGTATCATATTTAAAATTCAATAAACATTTCTTAGATGTTTTAAAAAGTTATTTGAATCAGTTACAACATTTTTTAACAAAAACTCTAAATAAAAAACTACAAAGTAGATTCTTAAGTGGTATGGTGGTTGATAAATGCAACATATGTATAAAATTACAATTTTCAATGTTTTCATTTTAAGCTACAACAAATTCTAATTTATAGAAATCTCAATCGGACAAGACGCTAGTTCATCAAGCTCTTGAATCGTTGTACAAGTTAATCCTGCCTCAAGCCTATACCCTGTCTCTAAGACGTCTGTCGAAACAGTTCCAAAGTCTTTAGCTGCAAGATTATTTGCCCAGAATATAACAGTTATATCTCCAAGCACTATCTCTAAACGTTCTGTAAGAAGTTTATTTCATAATAATCATTCAACTTTTGCTTTAATAACGTATTACTGTATTTTCCAATGTGGTCAGTAAATACCAATCTAGTTTGTTAATTACTAATTAACAAACTAGATTGCATGCATATGATAATATCAGTTAATGACAAGTATTTAAAATATTAAAAGTTTACAATAATATTTTAGTGACTACTTCAAGTACTCAGTAAAACATTATAATAGTGCAAATAATAATAGTGTAAATTTTTAATTTTATAAATACTTATCGTTATTTGATATTATCATATTCATGCAATAAATTTATTTAAAATTGTAAACGTCATAAAATATAATTTAAGTCTCCACTTTCACATATTTTTCTAAACATCTATAAGTAAAACTGTTTAGGTTCCTGCAAAACAACCTGCATCATTGTTATCTAGCATCTTTTAGGATAATGAGTACGGATATGTTAAATAAAAAGGCTGAGTACAGAGCTGAACGTCATCTGATGGAGAAAATTCAATTTAAGATAAAAACGTAAAAAGTTATACAAAACTTAATTTTACATTAACTTTAAGTAGCAGAACTTTATTAAATTGTTGCAGCAAGCATATTTGTCACCAACTGTTACAAAATTGTTGCTTAAACAAGTTTATAACTTTTTATATTTATTAAGGAATATTTTGTATACTAACTTTAGATTAAAAATCTGAAAAATTTGAGAGCTGCTGATAAGTGGTTAAAGAATATTTCAATATAAGTTACTCAAATTAGGTTCAGGTAAAAATTGGGCATGACGAAACTCCTCAATTCCAACCTCCCATATAACTGAACAGGACCAAAATAGGTTAATACAAAATTTTCTAGATATTAAATTATATTAAACAGCTTTTTACTTTCTTTCCAATACCAATGACATCAGGAAAAACGACGCTCCAGGTATGCGGCTACAGTCTTAGAAATTAAACTTTATATTCCAAAGGGTTGAATTTGGTTATCAGCTGTCCAATATAATGTAAATCTAATAACTTAATAATATACTAACAAGAGAAAAAGTTAAAATTTTTGTTTAAAGTTTAATAAACTTTTTAAAACTAAAATTTAATAAACTGTGTTTATTTATATCAGTTAAACAACTGCTGCATTTGATCCCTGCGAGTCCCTGATTGAATTTCAGCTTAAGTGTCATCTATAGCTTGAAGGGGCAATGGTGTGGCAGATGAAACTGGAAGATCAACTCCCTTATCACCTACTTGAAGGCACATTTTATGAATCATACAAGCACATACAACAAGTTTTGCAGCACTTTTTACTTTGGAAAATTAAATTGGTACTTGTAGAGAGTAAAACCTGTTTTTCGTAACCCGAAAAAATTGCTCAATAACATTTCTGATTTTTTGGAGTGCATCATTAAACCGTTGCTTAGAGGCTGTTTGGTTGTCATTGTAAGGTGTGATAACCCAGTTGTTGCAGGGGTTGCCATGGTCACCTAAGACAACTGATCCAGCTTACCCGGACCTCAAAAGCATCCTAAAGTGCTGATTGACGTAACACCTAAAATGTTTGAAAACAAAATATTAAAACTAATAATATTTGTTTTAGATAAGAAACAAAGCCCAAGAAAACAAAAACATTACAGAATTGGTTATATAGATGTTACACTAGTTGTATAAATGTCTGTTTACTTTTTAAAATACTTTACAGATCAATTAATAAATTATACAAAAACATTATTAAGCTAAAGTTCATTTTATACAAATTCAGTAAAACAAAATTTTACCCTAGAATCATGCCATTGCCCAGGCTCTTCAATGTAACAATAATAAACATACAAATCTGGTCCACAAACGCAAAGACATTCGATGAATGAAAATGGTGGCAATTTCGGAATGCATCTTCATCTTTTGATACAGGGATGATTGATATGTGACTTCAATCAAAGCAACTACACACACTTTGAATCTGCGCCATAGAATGAAACTTTCTAGGTATGGTGTCAACAGGATTAGGCTGATAAATAACTCCGGTCGACAAAACAAACTATTCAGAACTGCATGAACAGCTTGATTGCTGGTATCTTTTCGAATACCATGATCTTGCTCAACATTATAAAATAAAGGAGTTCCTGAAATTTAAAAAGTTTTTAACTATTAAAGAACTTTTATGCAGAGAATACAAGAATTTAGTTATTTATTATCTTTTTATATTTTACTAAGAATTGAAATATGACAAATAAAGAAAAAAATAAGAAATATAACTTGAATCATATATCTTTTTAAAAGAAGTCTAAGTCAAGTTATATTGTTTGTTTCTTTATTTGCCATATTCCTGGGAAAAAGATTCTTTTGCACTGACCAGATTCCTGAAATATAATCAACAATTAAATAATAGAAAAGAAACTAACTAAAGAATATTAATAGACACAAAAAACAGCATACAAGTTGTAGTTTAGTTTACAAGAAAATAAATAGTTATAAAATATGTTATTCTTTAAGCATATGCTTGCTTATGCATAGTTTAATAATGGGTGTTTAAAAAACCCATCATTGCATTATTTATTTGTAAATAAAATATTATGTGAAATATTTATGTTAGAAACGTTTACTACATAAATAATGTTAAATATACAAAGTATACATAAGAAAAATATGTACAACTTTTGAAAATCAAATAAAGTTTAAGTAACTTTTATTTATCATAAAAATGATAAAAAAATTTGATATATAATTCGAATGTATAGAAATATAAAGATAAAAATGTAATAAATATTAGAATTACAGATTATAATACCTAAAAACCTGATTAAAAATTAGATTTTTTTGATAACGGTTTTTCAACCATTTTAAAATGCACATGTTTTTTTGTTTTCTAAAATCAAATTGTGTTTATGTTAGAATGATGACGTTGCTTTGATGACAAAATTAAAAACGTAAAAAAAAAAAAAACGTAATAAAAGCTAGGGTTGTTAACCGGAGGATTTCGTGCAATTCCGGAAAAACAACATTCTTTCGTAAGGAGATTGAGAACACGGAATTACATTTTTTCGTACCGAATGTTACAAAACATTTAAAATCGCCGATGTTCATTTCGCAAAAGCCACTTCCGAAATTTAGCATTTCGCAAGTTGACATACGAAACAAAACTATTTTGCAACATACGAAAGTAGCGGTTTCGGAAGTCGCACTTGCGAAACAAACATTTTTGCCACACGACGTTTTGAAGTCTATAAAGAAAATTTGTTTGCCAGACTGATTTTAATTGTAAAAATTAACATCTTTAAATCCCAAAATGTTTATAATGAATTTTTATTTTCAGTAAAATAACTTATTAAATTTTTACGGTTTTATTTTTAGAAATATTAACAAAAAATAAAATTTCTTTCGAAACGAAAGTATTTCGGATCACAACATACGAAAGAATTCTTAACGGAAATAAACTTACGAAACGTGCCGTAATAAATATATACAACGATGTTTTTTGAACTCATTACGTATATTAAAAATAAGAATGATGGGTAGGAATATACATGTTTTTTTTTTAAAGCATATGAAATTTTTGAAACAGGTTCAAATATGCTTAAGCAAATAGTAAAAAGAGACTCAAAAATATGCTTTAGCTTAAGCATATTTCTGATAAAATATACCTATTTCAATAATTTCTAAAAGTGTGCACGTTACTAAAATTCTAGCAGATTTTAAAGGTATGTAGAGTCCTGTTTGAATACGCTTTTCAAAGTATAGATCATAGAAAATTTTGTTTTTTAATTTTAATAAGATATAAATTTGAGTATAAGATTGTATAGTTCAATCAGTTAGATACGTGATAATTCGCCGCAGAGATCCGGGTTCGCATCCCGCAGCCATTGTAACTTTTGTTCATCAAACTCTTTTTACTTAAGATAGCATTTTTTGACCTCCATGTTCTATATTACAGATCTTTCGTCGCCTTCACAATAGTGACAACCTCTCTTCTGTTAGTTATTCTTTTAAGATTGAGTTCATTGTGCTTAATTCAACACGTTTCCCTTGCTTTACTAAGTTCTACTTAAATTATGATGAAATGTACGTAAAACAATTTTTTCAAATAATATAATTCATTTTGCTTTAAATCTTTTGCTTTTTGTACTAGACATCTGTCCTAAATACTTTGTAATAATTTCTAGCTAACTCTGAGTCTAATATAACCATTTCTGAATATAATTTCCCTGAGGCTCCTACAGCCTATTGTGTTCCATTAAAAGTAACTAGTTTTTGAGTCCAGATATTAATTATAAGCATCTAAAGGTTCACATTACTATTCATTTTCCTGATATATAGAATCCTATTTGCATACGTATCTCTTTCTGTAAATTCTATTTTATATAGTTTCAAATTATATATTAAATAAATATTACTATTCTCTTAGTTGAATGAACGTATAGCTCATTCAGTTAAGACATTTGGCCGCGTAGACTTAGGTTCACATCCCGCTGTTTCACATATATTTCTTCTCTTTTTACTCTTTCTGATATCATTTACCTTTAGAGAGATCTCTCGTTCTTTATAATAAAGTATTAAATTGTTTATCACACATCCTCTTTACACTTTTTAAAAAGAAAGGCATACTGTTTATCTATTTATTGAGAGTCCAACTTAACGGGATTTTACTATATATATAAGTATATATTTATATATATATATATATATATATATATATATATATATATATATATATATATATATATATATATATATATATATATATATATATATATATACAGTAAAATCCCGTTAATGTATATATATATATATATATATATATATATATATAATATATATATATATATATATATATATATATATATATATATATATATATATATATATATATATATATATATGATTATATATATAATATATATATATATATATATATATATATATATATATATATATATATATATATATATATATATATATATATATATATATATATATATATATATATATATATATATATTAGGTATATTTGTATAAATATTTGAAGAATCATTTGACAACATTTTTTTATAATTTTATTATTTATTATTTAAACTGTTAACAGTTAATATCTTAAATATATCGTAACATAAAATCTTTTGCGTCTTTTTCGTAACTACACATTCCGGAATGCTTTTTCCGTAAGGAACTATTTCGTAAGTATTCTTACGAAATGATTTGTTTCGCAAGTTTTCTTTCGCAATGCTTTATTACGGAATTTTATTTATTTATATTTTCGTATAGCGCGTTACGGAATGTGCATTTTCGCATGTGCAACTTCCGTAATAACAATTCTATTACGGTAGATAAAAATGCGAAATTTTCGCAAGTTTTGTTTTTCAGCAAACAACCCTAATAAAAGCAACGTTGTTATAATGTCGTTAATCGGACGTTATCAGACTAACGTTGGTTTTACGTTAAACAATGAACGTTATTTCAACGTTGTTTTAACGTTAAGATTTAAGACGTTAAATGATAACTTTTTTTCGACGTTATTCTAAATTTTGACGGACAAACGTTAGAATGGGTCCTTCCTTTTCTTACTAGGTAGAATTACTAGTCACTACGAGTCAAATAATCCCGGTCGTTGAGACAAATAATTAAATTCGTTTAGTTATATTGTATTAATTACTTTGTAACAAATATATTTTTATATTATTATTTAAGAGAGAGTTCAGTTTTATATTATAATACAAGTTAACACTGTTTGAAATATTACCCAGCGGGAACACAACGTTGTATTAAAGTTTTATTTACGTTAGATTTTATGTTAGTACAACGTTGCCGGTTCGGCAAAATGGAAAGGTTTTATAACGAAAAATTCTTGCCTTAGATTTACGTTAGACTTTATTAACGTTATATTAACGTAAAATTCTAAAGTTAGAATTAATGTGTATATTATTTATATTAATTAATGTTATATTAATGTAAATACAAATTGGAAAAACTTCAGCGTTTTATATTAACGTAAAATATTGATGTAATTGTTAATATAGCTATAGTTATATTCATATAACCCTGAGCCGAAGCCCTTTATACGCAGCTTGGTGTCATGTTTATTATATGAATAAAACTGTATATATTAACGTTATATGTTAAACACAATTACAATCAATATTCAAAGATAATTATAAAGGTTTTTAACCCCTTACAAATGGTTAGAAAAATAGTTTTATGGATAATTAATCTAAATATACAATAAATGTTTTTGAAGATTTTTTTTAAAGATGTATTATATATTCTTTTGTATTATAAATTTACAAAAAAACTCAAAAATAAATAATTGTTCGATTAAGAGAACTTTAAAATGCTTCCTATTTGATCTTTTGTTTGCTTCCGTCGAACTTGTAAAATACAACATAGAATACTGTAAACGGGGTAACAATAAAAAATTTACTTTATTTATAATTGACTATTTTTTTGATTTTCAACGTTTTAATTTTAACATTCAAGGTTCAAGGCTATATATATCTAAGAATAAAAAAAAGCATATGTAAGGAAGAAGGGGTAGATAAAACAATATTGAGCTATTATTATTGTACCAGTTATTGCTTTACAAAATTTTTTATTTTTGAATGATACCTTCTTTATATCACTACGAATTTTGCCTTTCATTTTCGACTTGGCCATAACATGATGCTCCATAACTCTATAAAAACGTAATAAATTATTTTTTATATTTTAAATGTTACACAACTTTTAGTGGTACCCACTATCTAAAATTTCTATAAAATAAAGCAAGAAGTCGTAAGTACTCCGTGACATACAGCTTGAAACAACCGTGCAAACAAAAAATTTGAAAGTTTTAGTTAAAATTTTATTCCTAAAGTAAATTTCATTCTAAATAGCATGAGTTAGTTAATTTAGTAAATATTCTATTTACAAAGTGTTACAAATGCAAACTAGATATTTAGAAAAGCTTTAAAAAGCGTTAAACTTTTTTCTTTTCAAAAACGCTTTTAAAGTTTTAATTTTTTTCAATGTTATATAAATTGTATACAAAATGAAAATTCGATTTTTTTTTTTTTTTAGTTTAAAGTTTAAATGCAGAATGAAGAATTATATTGGACCATACCTCGTTTTCATGTTGTCGTTTTTAAAAGGTATACTACTTTTATTGATATGATAACATGCGTGAATTTCAAATCCAATTTAAATTTACCTAACTTAGATATTGACACATATTTAAGTAATTAAAGGCCCACTAAAACCACACTAAACATGAACGAAGACCACGCATCATTTAAGCGTAAAATTTTCATGTGGCCCACGTGTGGGAAGCACATGTTAGCCATATATTTACCACTCCTTTTTATGCTATGGCGTTAGTGTGTTCCATATGTGGCTTTAATGTTTATCCCACTTAAAGCACACTAAATAAGAACAAACGCCACACTTCAATTGCATGAAGCAGTCATATTTATTTCTTCAATCTATCATCTGTTATATTATCTTTTTTAATGTGTCCTATCAGTTTGTCCTACACGTAATCAAAAAAACACTATAAAAATCAAATTTGTATTAAAGAATATAACAAAACCAACTATACTAAATATACAAATATACTAAATCGCATTATATTATTGCAAATTTGAATCGAAAGCTTTTTATAGTTACATCGATCTAATATTAAAGGTTGATGTTTTAAAGACATTTTTGCTTGTGGGTTTATAAAATCTTCAAAGCGTACCAACAATTTTAAATTTTTTAAAGATCATTCAATTTATTTAAGAACGGGATTTTAAAAGTAACTTAATTAAAGTTGTAAGAATGTACTCCGGTAGTTTATCATCAAAAAACTAACTTTATGTACCTTAATTAAACCATAAAACTGTAATATGCAAACTATGAAAGTTGCGATTCCCGATTCTATCTTGTTAATGTTCCAACTTAATTGGCTTTAGATAAATACTTAACAAACAAAAAACTCTGATATATCCATAATTATAAAAAAAAAGTTTGAGGAGGAGGGAAAGACATTTTATAACAGTTTTTTAAAGAATGGAGTATATGGAAAAAACTTACAATTGGTGACAAAATAGGATAACACCTGAAAAATTATTTTAAAAAATGGTGAGTTTTTTAAAAAAAATTTTTGTGTGGGTTGTTATAAAAAAAATTTTTATGATGGCACACACATGCTATAAGAACTCTTTAATTATAAAATATTTTATTATATGGCGTGTCAAAAGATTTGTATTCTACAGCAAGCAATTACAGCCTAGGTCACTTAGGTAGTTCTTGGATAAAAACAATATCATCTTACTTGTGGTATTTCATACCAACTGTAGGCAGCTAATAACATTATCAGTACTCTGCAGTATCTCACATCTTACAGACGAAAAAAATATAGATAAAAATAATTTTAAAAATTTAGTCTAAGATTTTTTTCAAGGCTTTATTCAAAATCAAATAAAACTACTTTTGGGGTCTTTTGTACAAAGTGCTGTATTCCTATTTAAGACTCAAACAGATAACTCAAAAAAAAAACTAACGATAAATTTTAACACTGTTAGCTTCCATCAAAATGTTACAAAAGTCATCAAAATTTTTCAAAAGTATAATGCCATAGTATATTAAAAGGGCTTTTAGTAAAAAAAGGAATGGAAATACAAAGTAATTACCTTTTTATGTAGCTAATATAAGGAGGTTCAACTAAAAGAAGCTAAAAGAACCAACTTTATTGTTTTCGATAAAGCTTTTTAATAATTTTTTAAACTTTTGCTTATTCTTGTGCCTGTAATTGTGTCTTTTGCTTTATAGAAAATATATAATATATTATGGCAATTAAGTTTTTTTAATTCTGATTATAAAAAAATTTTGACTGACACTTTTTAAAATAGGTATTTTTAGTATAAACATTGTATATACCTAAAATAACTTTAAAGTTTCAAAATTCAATGAATTCTTGAAACTTTAATGCAACTTCTTAGATAAAGAAAAAGAATATGATATATAAATAAAGAATATATATATATATATATATATATATATATATATATATATATATATATATTATATATATATATATATATATATATATATTATAAAATAATAAGAATAAGAATATATATATATATATATATATATATATATATATATATATATATATATATATACATATATATATATATATATATATATATATATATATATATATATAATATATAAATAAAGAATATATATATATATAGATAAATAAATAAAGAATATATATATATATAGATAAATAAATAAAGAATATATATATATATATATATATATATATATATATATATATATATAAATAAAGAATATATATATATATAGATAAATAAATAAAGAATATATATATATATATAGATAAATAAATAAAGAATATATATATATATATATATATATATATATATATATAAATATTATAAAATAATAAGAATAAGAATATATAATATATAATATAATATATATATATATATATATAATATATATATATATATATATATATATATATATATAAATATATAAAAAAAGAATATATATATATATATAGATAAATAAATAAAGAATATATATATATATATATATATATATATATATATATATATATATATATATATATATATATATTATATATATATATATATATATATATATAATATATATATATATATATATAAATGTATATATTTATATATATATATATATATATATATATATATATATATATATATATATATATATATATATATATATATATATATATATATATATATATTTATATATATATATATATATATATATATATATATATATATATATATATATATATATATATAAATATATACATAAAGAATATATATATATATATATATATATATATATATATATATATATATATATATATACATATAATATATATATTTATATATATATATATATACATATATATATATATATATATATATATATATATATATATATATATATATATATATATATATATATATATATATATATATATATATATATATATATATTCTATACAACTGTGTGTACAATTTAGTTAAATTTACTAACATTCTATATAAAATCCACTTTCATTCAAGTTCACACCTCACTGCGGCTGTCACTGGTGTGACAACAGCAACGGTACTACCTCAGACATTTTACATTTGAAAGTAAAACCAAGAACAATCTTATCAATCTGAACTCAATTTCAGTTCCACAATACATATTTACGGGGAAGCAAATTGTTGACAAAAAAATACCTTTATGTAATTTACAAATTTCCAATTCGAGCAGAGGATGCTTTTAAAACAGTTTCGGAACTTATTCCTTCCATAGATCTCCACTTCTTGCGCGGGGTAGTGAATCATCTTTTCAAGAGGTTTAAGAGAATCTAAGAAGGAGCCTGTGAATGCCCCTTAAACTTACATTTTAATATTTAATACTACCTCGGTAGAGAGCTAAGTGAAATTAATCGCGAGAAGCTTCTCAACAGTATGATCTCTTGATTGAGTATATGACCAAACATTAGGTTTTCCCTGCCATTAATTTTGTCAAGATTTTCAGGCACTTTTGAAGTATTGTTCATTCTTGTTTTAGAAACAATCCAGGGGCGGATCCAGCATTTTTTGGTGTTTGAGATAGCTAACTTCCAGACATGGAGCAAACTCCAAACATTTATATGTTTATACTTATATCAAATAAGGATGGTTTGCAAAAATTTGCGATGATTGGAGCCTGGGAACAAAAAAGCCCCAAAATTTGAGACGTACCTGCCCCAAACGTGAGAGCAACAAGTTGATAAAATATTTTTTGTACTATTCTCAACAAGACTTATATTTATCAATAAATTTTAAATTCCATTGTAAAATATGTTAGCGCTCAAAAATTATGACCATATAAAAATTGTAACCCCCTCGAATTGAGGGGGATTCAAACTTTACATGGTCATAATTTTTGAACACTGAAATATTTTACAATGAAATTTAAAATTTATGGATAAATGTAAGTCTTGTTGAGAATAGTACAAAAAATATTTTATCAACTTGTTGCTCTCACGTTTGGGGCAGGTACGTCTCAAATTTTGGGGCTTTTTTGTTCTCAGGCTCCAATCATCGCAATTTTTTGCAAACCATCCTTATTTGATATAAGTATAAACATATAAATGTTTGGAGTTTGCTCCATGTCTGGAAGTTAGCTATCTCAAACACCAAAAAATGCTGGATCCGCCCCTGCAATCAATACCAGATTTTGATGCTTACATAAATACATTTTAAGTATTTGTCAACTGTGTCTCTTGTTTTATGTAATTTAAAATCTGCTTTGTTGAACAAAAATTATTCAAGAAATGTTTTTATTATATTCTCAGATTAATTTATAATGTAAGACAAATCAGAAGGAAAAAAAATCTTTTTATGATGCTTTACTACTTTGACATTAAATTTTATCATGAACCAGCTAAACTATTACATAAAATAAAGAATGGGGTTTTAGGCAGTTAGTAAGTTTTTTCCCCTATTTTTGGTATTTTAAATCTTTAAGTAAAATAATACAACTTCAAGCAAAATAATTTTAAAGAATGAATTATTAAAATTATAATTGAAAACAGTAAAAAAGCATACTTTACCGGCTTCACTTGAAAAGATAATTGCCAAACGAAAAGATAATTGCTTTAATTTTTTCTGAAAGCATCTTTAATTACTCCATGGCCATATAATGTTTTTAAAGGTTTAACATTCTTTATAACGTTTTGATGAAACGTGACTCTATTAAAAACAGTGTAAAAAGTTGTGCTTTCTAGTTAGTGTGTTTAAGCCTAAAATAAAAATAAAACATTTGAAAATAAAACCCAAAAACTGTTCTTTATTAACAAAAAACATATAAGTTTTATGAAATATTTAAACCATTAAATGGAATGCATACAACGATCATGGTGTCATTTTTATGATGACGTAACCATGCATTATCATAAAAACATGCGGATTGAATAAATTGATGGGTGTTAACCCACCATTTTATTCAACCAGCATATTTTTAAATTAAACTTTCGCTTTCGTACGGTGTAACCAGATTTTAGTTTTTATGCTAAAAAGTCCTGAATGTCTTTAGTAAATATTCCAAAAGTATAATTGTGTATATGTACAAAATTGTGCAGTCAATACATGCTATTGTATAAAAAGCACCAAGTCATTAACATGTCAGATTTTATTTTTCAAATACTTGATGAATGTGTGGACATCAAATTGTAAAAGTCTGGACAGTAGGGCATTTCAGGTGGTGGCGTAGTGGTAAAACGCTTGCCTCATAAGCGATATGTTCCGAGTTCGATCCCCACCACGTCCCTAGTAGTGTTACGACTAAATTTTTTTTCCGCGCAATGACCTTGTTTGTCATGGTTTGAGTGTCAGAATTTTTTTTTTTTTTTTTTTTTTATATTCGTTTAAGTACATTTGAATAAATTTATGATTCGCATAAAACATGTTTTCATGGAGTTTCATGCAACAAGTTTTCTTTCTTGAACTTGGGCCAAAATCCTTCTTAAAGTATGAAACATAAAATGCCGTAATTAAGTTTTATATATTTAATTTTTTGTTATTGGATTAACATGACTAACAAAATGTCAGGTTTAAATGTTTTCTGGTTGTAAAACATTTTTAGCTCTGTTACAAATAACATTTATATAAAATATTGTCTACAAGTATTACAGTTTGGTTATTTGCTTTTGTAATTTTATATAAACTACTTCTTATCATGCTTATGTGTAGATTTTTATTCATTGTTTTTAATAATTTTTTTTTTCAGAAACATGTTTACACCGTCCTAACCAATTTAATTCCATTTTATGTGAAGAGTCTTGCCTGGTTAGATTAATAATGTTAATTAAAATAATACAACCAACTAAAAATAGAATTACTAATAATATTACAATTATCATTTTTATTATTATTAATAAAATTCTTATTATTATTATTATTATTATTATTATTATTATTATTATTATTATTATTATTATTATATTATTATTATTAATAATAATATTTAAAATGTTTGGGTGAGTCTATGCGCACGTACGTTTGATTAGACTAATTCGTAATATAGCCTGTTTGCACTTTTAAAAAAAGTTTCAAGGTCATACATTTTAAAAGAAATTTATTTTTTTTAATCAATTTTAGGGTAGATTAGGGTAATATGAGCACCTTAAGCAAAAATTGGAATATTTTCAAAAATAAATATGCTGGATCCAAAATTTTTGCAAATAAACAATTTTTAGGGGTCCTTATTCATAATCTATTTAGATATTTGGGCACTTAACATTTTTTCTTAAAAACACAGAGGTTTTAAAAAAGTAGCAAAAGTGCTCGTATTACCCTGACCCCTTGGTAATATGAGCACTTTAAATTAGCTCAAAAAAATAGCATTAATTAAGTAAAAAAAGACCAACCTGCTTAATAGAACTAATTGTTGGAATATAAGGATTTGTGATTAACAAAACATTTCATTAAAAGATCAAATTTTAAGCTACATTTTGTTGAAACAATACTACTATGTTTTCCGCCAAAAAAAAAAAATTAATACATTGTTTTTTCAATTTTGTTAACTCAAACCTTTGAACAATAAAAATTAAAATTTTTTAGATTTAATTTACAGAAAAATATTTAGTATTGTTAATATATTTAAATTTTTTACTATGTTTTGTTTTTATTCAAGAAGCAATTAAAAACCACTGCTATTTTAGGACTTTAAACTATGCAATTTCAATGAAAAGCACTGGGTAATTTGTGCATGCTCATATTACACAAAAATGGTATCTTTAAATAAAGTCAAAAATAAATGTTTCTATGCATTATTTTTCAAACAAAAATAAATTGGATTTTTAGCTAATATATTTTTCTTTATGAAAAAATTAATTTCATTATTTTAGCACCAAAATATCGCGCCACAGAATTATTCACGCGTGATGATTTTTTTTTAAAAAAGCAAGAAACTTAAAAGCGTTTTAATTGGATGATATCCGCTTATTACAGCGTATAAATTTACGCTAATTGTACTGATTTTTGTTATCACCACATAAAGTCGATTCAAAAAACATAAAGCAACTTTAACTTCACTGCTTACATCTAATAAATCTTTAAGTATGCTCATATTACCAAGGTGCTCATATTACCCTAATCTACCCTAATTGACATAAATAAAATTACTAAACATAATTAAACTTTTATTCAAAAACAAACAAAAACGTGAAAATAGATAAAATAAACATTAAGAAATACTTCTTTTTTAAAATAAAAAATTGCCAACCCAAGCTAAAACCCTCTTTATTGTATTTATACTACATTGTGTGCCTATCCCTAGATAAGCAGTAAATATGGACATACACTACGGCGCGCATATCCTTCAAAAGTTAGTCAACGTAAGTACTGCGTTAATACTCCACAACGCTAGTTTAATTTTGAATTTAAAACCCAATAATAATAAATCTAATTTTACTAAAATGGCTTTATATTAAATGATCTTTACCTTTTTTAACCAAAAGTGCAAATAAACTATAGTAACATAAAGTCTATTCGCACGTGAAAAACGTGCTACTAGACACTCCGTTAATATTTTTATCATCATCATCATGATCATCAATATTATTGTTATTTTAATAATAGCATTATAAATGTGTTGTTGTTATTGCCGTTACTATTATGATCACAATGTTTTTTGCAACAAAAAATAGTATTATAAAAATTTTAAAATTTTAACAAAATGAATATTGTACTTGAAACAACTTAAAAGATATAATTTATTAACAACTTAAAAGATATATTTCTATAATGTCAGAATTCTTGATTGAATGTTGTTATTTTTTTTTGGTAGTAAGCAATAGCTGTGACAATGGTTGGTTAGAGTATAAAACCTTTTGTTACTTTTTTCAAAATAAAACTTTACAAGCAAAAAATTGGAGAGATGCCTCATTATCATGTCAGGCTTTGGGTGGACATTTGTTAAGTATTGAGGATCAAGCTGAAAATTTTTTTATTTTAAACTTTCTTAAAGATAACAGCATGCAACAAGACAATTACTGGATTGGTAAACTTTTTTTTAAATTTAATTTTTTTTTAATTTTTATATTAAATTTTAACTTTCGTTAGCTTTTTTATACTTTAACTTTAATATATACGTTTAAAGATAAAATTTGTTTAAAAAAATTCTTATTTTAAATTATAATATTTATTTACAAAAGGACTCAATGATGCGAGCAATAACAGAGAGTTTAGGTGGTCAGATGACAAAATTCCACAGTTCTTTAATTGGTTACCGAAAAAACCTAATAATGACCAATCAGAACAAAACTGTGTGGAAACAAATAGTATGGGTTGGAATGATGAAAATTGTGATGCCCTTTACGGATTTATTTGTAAAGTTACAAAAGGTAATACTGAATTATGCTTTCCTGAAAGTAGTTATTCTGTTAAAATAAAACATAAAACATAACACCTTTTATAGATTTGATTGACCAAGTTATATGTCAAGAACTTTATGTTATAGAAAACCATATCTTAAAGTTTCTTATTTATCTTATTAAGGCTATATATATATATATATATATATATATATATATATATATATATATATATATATATATATATATATATATATATATATATATATATATATATATACATTCTACCTACGGTATTGATGTTGTACTTAAGTGACAACACTACTTCCTTTCCATTGATTTCTGAAGTACCGCAAGAATAACAAAGAATGTACTTTACTTAATGTTTTTTCGGATAGTCATTCACCAGTGAATTCTTATAGAAACTGCTTTTGCTATCCACTAAAAATTAAAATCTGCTAAGGTTGAGTCTCATTGTTGTGATTAACCCTTTTCACTTCTGGTTCCATTTTCTACTTTTTCATTTTAACCCTTTATTTGTCCTTGTATGGAATACTGCTGTCATAATTTCGCTTGTTCTTTTAGAAGAATCTTTTTTTTTTTAGTTTTCCAGTCTCCGTCTTATTGTTGTTAAGTTACAACTCTTTTCCTTCTCTATAAATACTACAACTGTTGCTGCGCAGACCAATTATCATCAATAGTTTAATCTGCTGAACAAATAGTCTTCTTGTTCAGTGAATATTGATTTATTAGTTAAAACAAATTTAAATTGAATAGCCATTCCGTAAAGTAGTTTTCTTTTTTAACTGTAACTGTTCCTTCATGCTCTAAAACTGCCTATTTTCTTAAAAACTATTGATTTAAATTTTTCTCTTGAGTTTATGTTTTCCTGATTCATATAATTTACAGTCTTTAAACCTTCAGGTTTAAATTTCTTCTCCAACTTTCTCTCTTCAACTTCTTTAAATTTCTTTTTTTTGAACTTACTTCGTTTTCTGTTTTTTGCTATCGTAATTCGCGATTTGCAGCATTGTTGAAAGTGTGCAGTCTAATGTGTTTAAAGAAAATTAAAATTTATATTAACTGTTTATGACTTATCAAATACTTACTTTTATCGAATGCCTTGAATTTAGAGTTCAATATCAGGCTATTTATAGAAAATGATTTAGAAGTGCAATTACAATATTTTGGCTTAACTCGCTTTAGCCAATTTTATTTCCTTTGGTGAACAATAAAAAAATGGAAGTTTTTACCAAGCTTTTTGCCTTTCTAACTATTTAATAACGCGTTTAAACTACTGTTCTGTTTGTCATACCTGGTAACAAAGTTTTCCTGATTTAAAATAGAAAATTATCATGATCTGTTTCTCTTAGTTAGTATATTTGGTAAAATACTTTTTATATCATCAGTTTACCAGAGCCCAATATTAAAGTGTAAATAAAAAAAATTTTAGAATTTTGTAAAAATAATTTATTCACTTAACTTTATTATATTCTCTTGAGCTTTTAATAGAAATCTGTAAAAACTGTAAAATAATCTTACTAATTTTCGTATAATTGAATCAACGTCTTCTTGTCTTCATCTGAAGCTGAAAAATATAAGTTAATTGAAGATAAACAGACTTTACTTGAATATCCTATTTTTCAGAATGTTTAAAAAAGTTTCAGTTTTTTAAATCTGAGTTTCATTTAAACGCTTTTGAACTAATTCTTTTTAGAAAACAATGATTTATGTGAAGATGGTTGGTTGAATTATAAAAACTATTGCTATTTTTTCCAAGACAAAAATGATCATTTTTATGGTAGTAGTTGGAAAGATTCTTATTTATCATGTCGTTTTAAAGGAGGAAACTTGTTAAGTATAGAAGATCAAGAAGAAAATTTATTTATCACAAGTGTTTTAGAAAATCATAGTAGTACTTTTTGGATTGGTATGACTCATTTTTATTTATTGATTTATTCATTTATAATAATTTTTCAGCATTATATTTTTATTTATCAAACAAAATCTGTAATATATA